TGGTAAATTTAACTGAATTATTTCAAAACAACAAAATGTCATAGTTTTAACTGAGAAAACAATGAAATATTTCCACCCCAAAACGACAAACAGTCGATGATTCAGAAAACTGGTATGCTTCATTTTTAAATCGCCATTAACATTTGTAAATGCAGCAATTAACTTTATATTAAGCTTTAAACTCAATTTTAAATGCTATGTCTTTAAAGTCACTTGGACGTCATACAGCTACTTAACATTAAAACACAATTATCCCTCAAATTTGACAACAACATTTTTATTATTTTCTTTTTGAGAATTTTCAAGATTATCTGATCCATGATATATGAACTTGATGTCAATCAAAACAATATCATTTAATTAATTCAAAGACAATTTTAGAAAGATTCATCTGTTCTAACTTGCAGACTCTTTCACACATTGATCAAGATTGATTTTCTTCCATATGTTGATAATTGATAAGCTTATGAGCATACAAACAGACATCAGTGACTGACGAGAGCTAAATTAGAAACATGAACAAAAAATCTAGCTCAGGCCCTCCTAATTTTAGTATGAACAATTGATTTTACAGAACTGTCAAGGCATTGCCATTCACTATTGCAATAATAGTATGACTTGATATGGCTACAAGGTTGCCAGGGCACATTAAAAATATCCAAAAACTACAAAAATCACACATACACACACATGTTCTGGATGTAACCATCTTTAAAACAGCATTGAAACTACCACCACCACCACCACCAAGATCACAATGTGTATCAATGTAAAATGTTTTTTTTTTTTGAAAGCCTGTATACACACTGACCTGAACTGCCTTGTCTACTTTCCTACTTCTGTGCTGTGCCATCCCGAGGAGTTGCTCAACCCGCCACATGGCTACATTAAAGGATAGAAACGCTGGGAAAGATAACCAGTACTCCAATGACATGGCTGAGCATGTACTCTGGAGGATCAGTACAGTTTCAGTTGATAACTGATAGCAGGGTGATGTTTTATTGGTTGCCGTGACCTCCAGGATCTGACACTCTTGGATTAATTACCAAAATACAGCTGTCTCCAATGAAAGATACATTAGAGTGAGATTAAAATCCTTCTACTTTTCTCCTCTTGCCATTACGGTATATCTGCAAAATAAGTTTTAGCTTTTCTGTGTGTGCCTGATGAGCGACTGCTGAAATTTCGATCCTACAACAGAACAGTTTAGTGTTCTGCTTTCGTTGTCCTTGGTTGCAATTAACAGCTGTAATGGTTTACATTTCTATGTAGGTATACGTCACAAGATTTACATTTGCTTGTTATTCTCTGGGATTTCCTTTCTTGTAACAATATTTGTGATGGCTGGAATACCTCGAATAATCAGCCTGGGCGTATTAATACGTTAATCCTATCAATTAAATCCAAAGCAAACTCAGCAGCATGTGTGATGCAATGTGAAAACTGTGGTCTTCATTAAAACTCAGCCAGTAACGTTGGTAGAGGTCGGTAGTTTAGAAAAACAACAGTGTTTACAGTACTACTGGTGTTGAATGTAAATGATTCTGGTCCAAGGCTGTCAAATCCAGGAGTTAGTTAATGATTAATGAATAAGAAAGTGATAGCTCCACAGACATGTACGCAATACAGATTCCTCTTTTGGTTGCATTAAAGATGCAGCTCCAGTCACATCTACCACTTCTCACTGAAAACTTGAAAAGTCAAATCGATTGAAGCACAGACTCAATAGTTCGTCGAAGACTGCCTCTTTTACATGTTTCTTTGTTTTTTAAATCCGCTACCGAAATTTGCATTAACACAATGGAAGCCACGTAAATTTCACTCCGTACGACATAGGCAGTATGCTGTATGATAAAACTTAACTAGGCTCGTAATCAATGTGGTCAGCAGAACGTGACACCAGTGCTGTACACAATATTATTGCGCAAGTAAAATATAACCTTTATGGTTGCCAAAATAGGAAGTGATAATCACTGCAGAGGTTAATCTAAATAAATAATATTCGCCATGTGGTTAATGCAATGATAAGGGTATTGCAAAGAATTTGTGTAGGCTTCATGTTGGTATTTCAATTTTCTATTATTTCAAGTAGACACATGAAACATGAATTACATAATGAATTTTAAGTACCGGTACATGTCTTTAAGTGAGCTCTGCCACTCCTAATGTATGGCTCAGAAATCTGGAGAACTTTCACATTTAAATTTCACAGAACTAATGGTGAAATTACATGCGAAAAATAATTTGTTCACAAAAATCAAGCAACATTGTGATAGATGAACTTGGAAGCTACCAAATTTACAGATAGATGATTAGGTACCATGACAGATTTGTAACTGATAAATGTAATGTAATATTTTTGCAATCTGCCTACAACACATGGACAAACTTTATAAGTAAACTAGAAGAAATTACTGAAACCAATGAGAGCCACTGTGATGTTGACAGTTTTGAGAATAAACTAAAGCAAAAATTCATAAAAGATTTCTGGTCACCCACTTTACATAAAAATAAATAATTTGAATACTCTTTCAATCATATTTAGAATATGTAAATGTCATTAGTAAGTTCAGAATTTCTGCACAATTCTGTTATTTACAAGTACGGTACCACCAGAGGAAAGGTTATGCACGCTATGTGATGATCTAGCCATTGAAAATGAGATGCATGCTGCGAGGTGCCAATTTTTGGGAATAATCTTATGATTATGAATTTATGCCGACTGTTAAAATTTTTCTTGTTTTATTCATTATTGTTGTCTGTGACAGTGTTTGTTAAAAAATTAAAAAAAATTACATAAAAGCTTAAAAAAAATTTGTTCAATTATCATGACATGCATTTTGTTTCAGATTCCAATTGATGTATGTATTGGACAGGTCTACAACAGAGTAGTTATCAATTGACAATTTCCTAGACTATTATTATAGATAATAATTATAGATTCCTATTATAATTATATAGGATGGTTACTAAGACGATACCTTAATGTCAAATTACACTTTCAACTCAATCACTTCATGTAGATCAAAGAAATATTCATAAATTTCATCAACCAAACATTCAAGTTCAACATTATATAAACTTAGTGTGGACTATGATATGAATTTTTGTGAGTCTAGAAACTGTTACGATGGATGTATTTATGCTACTGGTATTTAAAATGAAAAGAAATCTAACAACTCAAAGTTGCCATAACAAAACCACCACAACAAATCCAAAGACAAATTTATTTATACCAGGGAAGGGTACTAGTAGTGGGCAGAAAAGGCAACACACTGCTTAAAATGACAAAAAGTATTTTTTTGTCTGTGTAAATTTAAAAAAAAACAAATTATTTAAAGCAAAAATACTAACACTGTCATGGTGATCATGTTGCAATGTACAACATAGATGTGGAATTAACCTAATTTGTAAATACCCAGTCAATCAAATCACAGTTGGTCCAATTAAAATCAATCATGCTAGTATTACACATTGCGTATCTATGATTTAGTTACATCGGTGACAAATGCAATAATTTGCTACACACAGGGCACCTTGGGAAGTCTAACCATACCACAAAGTGACCTTTGACCTTATACTAAACAATTCAACCTGAAGGAAGCAAGATGTGGGTGGTGCAGACACTAATTAGTAGAATTGAACATTTTCAACAAGTTTTAATCAGAATATTTAATCACATGGCAATATAAGAAAAGGATAATATGACATGGTCATTCCACATATGAAATTTTGCCAATTTGCAGGCCAAATTCTAAATCACCACAGAATTAATTGTTCCAGTGCAGATAAACCAAAAATTGCATTTTTTTTGTATTTATTGGAGTTTTCTTTTAAAAATACATTTCTTGGATGCTTAACTTACATAACAATTACATAATTTACATAAAGTATAATTACAGATAAATTCTTGTCTCTATGTTTGTTGACCTGGGTGTTTTTCTTTTGGATTTCAACAAGTGTATTTTCATTCAAATGTTCCTTTACTTTATTGTTTGTGTTCATTCATTTGTATTTTGAAAGTTATCTACATATTTTCTCCATTTTCTATTGTGGGATCTGGTTTTGTTTTTTCTCTTAGCAATGTACAACTCTATTTTTTGTATTGTTTTCACATACTGCTTAAAAACATGAAAATCTGGTTTGGCTTTTTTACATCGAGATATATATATGTCGTTTTCCCAGCAGTACAAGAAAATTTGTAGGACATGAGAGTGATTTATCCCCTAATATAATCTGCCAGCCCCTAAGTCTGTGCCGTAGATCCATTTTCCTTCCCCACAGCATAAAAAGATTTTCCCAGAACAAAAACTGCATTTAATGAATATTGAATCATGGAAGTATAATACCTCCATGATTGAATCATTAACATATTGACCTTAGAGACACCTCCGTTATTTCCGTAAGCACAGGCACTACATATACTAATCATTAGTATACACAAGTAGAGCAAAACGATATTAAATTTTATAATCAAAACTGTAAGCAGTACCTAATTGGCAAGTTTATATGTGTAGAAATGGGTGTAGATGGAGGGAATGTAAGGATTTAATATTGTGGATTGAGGGCGGGGGAGGGGAGGGGCTTAGCTAGCATTATGTTGAGCTTTCATAGCCTTCTCATTTGAAACCTGGATGCAGTCATATCTGGGAGGTGTCCTATGCATCCGATTTACACTGATTATATACAAATAACAACAAGTAGACACTCACAGAATTACTGAAGTTTTTGATATCCAGAGATTTACAATAGTTAAAAGAAGAAGAATCCAGACATGAAGCAATCACAACACAAAGCTCCATTACAGAGTTTAGAACTGAAACGTACATTGCAAAAAGTTACTACATTCATAACAATAAATACAGACAAATGCATTACAGATATATTCAGAAAATTGCAAAATATTACTTAATTTACAAAATGAAAAAACAGAAAAAAAGTTATTTGAGTTAATTTTAAGGAAAATACAAACATAGATTAATTGTGATATCACTTCTTACCAAGACCAAAGGAATAAATGGATATCTCCACTGATTTGGGAAGCAAGGATACAGAAAAAAAAAACAATGTGGGAAAACGTATCAGGAAAGCAGGTCAGAAGTAATTTCAAATAAACATTGGCCTCAAACAGTTTCAACTCTTGAAAGTCAGACAAAACAGGTGATGAATGTTTAGACATGTAAACACAGTGAGCAAATGATAATGAAAATACTAACTGGTTTAATTATATCACCATAATTGTAACAGCAGGTGCAAACAACGTGGTGGTTATATGATTATCGTCTAGGTTATTTTATTTTTCGTAAAAACATTCTACATTCTAGTCAAAATGATTAACATGGATTGAAATATGTGCAAAGAAAGAAATGAAAAAAAGTATAAATTATAACGTTTCAATATTTTCATTATTCTGCTGATATACTCGATGTGGATATAGCGACAAAAACCTGTATAAATTTGTTTCATTTTTTGGGGGTTATTTTTTTTTAAATTAACCAGGTAAAACTCCCATCAAAACAACGCAGCATGTTCCAAATTAACATGCTTGATGTCTTCCATCCAGTCAGTTTCTCTGACAAAAATTAATATCTAATCATGATATGACATTTAATTGCTGGGTTTCATATGTCATGTCCTGAAACATACTACCTAATAAAATGCGCTTGAGTAGTTATCAGAATGTATTTTGTCTACCAAGATGGCCGACAGCTCAAATCGTTTCCAAGGTGACATTATGACACTACCAATAGTTGATTAAAAGAATAAAAAACATCCAACTTCTCACCTGTAAACTATCTTCGCCTTTTAACCATGCTACGATAGACTGTGAAGTAGTCACTGGAACTTGGTTTCTAGTAGAGGCGTTATGATCAGTGTCGGCATTATCCAAAGCGTCTTTTACATCCTCCAGTAATTTCAGGATCTGCACATCCGCACTGGGAATATTACGTGGCTCGGCAGAATTCAGACCATTTTGAAATTGAAGCTTAGTGCCTGCATTGCAGAAAAAAAAAGATTAATTATCATATTTCTACAATCGGAAAAATAAACAAACAAATCAAAGATGCAAAATCATACCAATTGGTCTAATGTTACTTTTTTTTTTAAACAACTGTTTTCAAATGTTTCAGTGTATATAAATATTCACCATACAATTTGTATTCATGTTTTATTCATGATTCCAGTATTTCTCAAGATAAGTCTTAAATGGCTGGCTCACCAGTTCTCAATTGTGTATTGAAAGTTAACAGATATTTCTATTGCAGTGGAGACTGCTGTGATGAATGATTAGATGTTGAATGAGTAAAGATTTAGGTATGTGCCCTCTATAGATCAGTTTGGAAATCTTTTGTTTTTAAGATTCAGTTGTTTAGACCACCATCTGCTGTCTCTTGTTTCAATCTAAAACAATCTGTATTATTCATTTTGCATGTAATATTTGAAAGTTTGGAGGTATGAACATATAAAGCATAGAATTATTAAAATATACAACTGTAAAACAACTGTACATAAGGTACATGTGTTCCCCACTATTTTCTGCCAATATGCCAAGGATTAGAACAAATAAATGGCATGAGGATTATAGTGCGTTTTGTTCGACAAATTAGGCAATTTTGTTATGGGAAAAGAATATAAATTCACAAACAAATGTACACAAATATTACATGTATTTTGTTTAGAAAAACGCCCTCTATTGCTTGAGTTGTGTAAATTCATACTCAATGTCATCGCATTTACAGATGAATATATGGTCTTCAATTTATAACAATTATTATTAGTATATACATATTTATTAGTACAAAAACTGTTTTATGCATTTTATGAAGCATCAATTTATCTATACTGTAATAATGCTTTATAAAAAAAATAACTGTGTGCAACATGTAAAGAAAACATTTCCTCAAATGCACAAAAAATTACGGTACATAATATGCAAATAAAAGTACAATTTACACCAACCTGCTATGATGCCATCCATCTGTTCCAGGGCAGCAGCCAGCATATCACTGGCATCATTACCACCAGTTGACATCTTGAGGTAGGAGGTTAAAGGTCAACACCAGAGGTCATACACAGAGGTATCATACAGGATAAAATACACAACAGAATCCCTTAGAATTCTACTTCTGACTGTAGCCCTGGGTGACACCAGTTACATAAGACTAGGCACATCAAAAAAAAATGGGAACACAATCTAAATAAAATACAAGATGAAGACAATATAAATATAAATTTAAAGAACAATGCAAAGACAAAAACTGATTGTCTGGGATTAAACTATCAGTAAACAGGATGTATGGCAATTTCCGGTTGATAAAACTGAAGTGTTTACATACTGTATTGGCTCTATTAGATGAACTTAGTACATGTATAGTTAAAAATATGAATTCGCTGTAATTAAATTAATTTCAATGTTTATTTCAGTTTTTATCATTTCTGGTCATTTTTAAAACTGTATCTGTTGTGCTAGCCTGATGTTTAATGCCTCTCATTTAATTCTCATCGATGTATAAGAGTTTTTTGTGTGTAGGATAAGATTGCAATCAGGTAACTGCCATGTCAGTGAATGAATATTCACAATATACACGTATATATACTTTAAATATGTTTAATTATGGCATGATGAAATATTTTGTGAATTTAAAGATTCTGGGAAAATAACTAAACTAGCAGAATGTAAATGAAAGGAGGGGGTGGCACAGAATCTTTCGTAAACTTTGTTGCCTGTGAAAATGTCTGTTTTGTGTCATTTTACCCTAAAATTGACACTTGTTCAATTATCAGTAAATTTTATGACTTATCTCTGAGGAGTTTATTATATTGAAATGATTGACATGTATTCATTGACACCATGGTGTTGAGTCAGTGTTTGAAAAGTCAAGTGTTAGTAAATATGCATCAGTTATGGCCAGAATTGGATGGTATGGTTAGGAGGTATTTCAATGATCACAGTTTTATCAAATACAGGGAAGTCGTGAAAGGACTCATGGATTCGCATTTACATTTACATGATTTCATGTTTGTACATTATATGTGCATGCACAACTAAAAGGGAAAATAGGGTATGTTATATTCAGAATAATAAGATGGCATATAATAAATATTAAGTTACAAACAAATAAATTATTTTGTATAATATGGTAGTAAGTCTGCCATTTCCAAATGAACTGCTGATATTGTAGGATGAGGTAGGATGAGGTAGGTTACATGTACTACTGGGAAAAATAGATAAATGCATGGTGCAAATATTTTCCAAATCATCATGCACTAAATTCAAGGGTTGGGATAATGTTAATTAGTTCGATGATGTAATTTTTGAATAATGAATGAGTATATTTATAGTATATTGGGAAGAAATGCTTTCCATTGAGGTGTCGAATGCTAAAAGTCATTTCACTATTTCATTCTCGAAGGGCAATTGCCATAAAAATGAATGGATACTGTAAAATACCTCATTTTCTCTTGGCAATTATTTTTGCTATTTTCACTGAACGGTTTTCCCTATATTTTACATTCAACTCATCAAAAATCAGTGATAATAAATTCCATACAAAATACCAAAAATTTATTCCAGCTAAAATAAAGTATTTTACAGTAGTATCGTAAATCCACCACTTATCAATCAAAACATTTATCATTGAACAGCCAAATTGTGAGAATTAAAAAAAATATTCATAAACACTCAAATTGATCAAATACAAAAGTTGTTGTGACAGTACAAATTTCGGATCCACATAAAAAGTTTTCTTTCATACAAACACAGAAGTTGATTAAGAGTATGAAAACAAAACCTGAAAACTATATAATGCTCACTTTGTTCAGAAATGAAGGTGGATGAACTAATGGACCGAATAAAGTAGCTGTAATTGGTAAAGGAAGCAGCTTATATGTAGCCTGTCTCATTAACTATTTAACATTACCCGGTACTTTATGTCGAAGTCGTTCGTTTCAACATTTCATAATATACCGGTAAGGTTATATATTGAAGTCAACTAAAATATTTACACCAGATCTAAACAAGCCAACATCACAGCTTCAAATTTCACAAAACTTTGTACAGGGTTGACTATCAGAATCTTTAGGAATAGGGTAGTGGTAGAAAATCAATGTATATATTTTTTTCTTCACTTCATTTTTCTGCCGGATCTTTGTTTCTAGTATGATGTAAAGAGTGAACCAACATTTCTCCTGGTTTTGTTTCTGTTCAGTTTGCCACCCTCTATCGCCACCCAAAGTTTTATATGATCGATCCCTAGTTCATAGCAAAATCATAAATACCCACAAAATGTAATCGTACTAAGAAATCACCATTTAAAGCAGAAACTTTTTATTTTTCTGTAAACCAAACAATATCCCCTCTTTTATTTATTTTAATAGTTTCCATGTACAATACATGGTAAATTCAAGGAAGGAAGAAACGAACCAAGGAAGATGGGAGCTACTGGTAGAGTTCATATACAGAGAGAGAGAGAGATAACATTTCAGTTTTAAACTATTCTTCATTTAATCAAAGTCATAATCTCTACATTTATCACTATCAATGAGAATAAAGATTAATTTTTGAAGCAAAACATGCAGACAGAGTAATCAAAGACAACATTTTGCCATGCTGATGACCCTGACATACTTATAATGGTAACTCATAATAGACACCATGTGAAGGTCAACAAAAGGTCATCTATAATTGAGTAAAAAATTGCAAACACTGCTTCCAACAAATAACACATTTAGAATACATGTATCCAGTTAAAAGCTGACAATTTTAACAAAGGATACAAAATAAAAAAAAAATGCACAATGGATGTTCTAATTGATACATAAATAGACATATAGTCCTCAATACATGAATATTAATAGCTCACATTCAAAAAATACCGGTAGCCATTATTTGACAAAACTGTGAATCAGAAAGGTCAACGGATTCTCTGAAATCTCACATGAATCTGAACGGCAGTCCGCACATATACAAGATTCTCTTAATTTGAATTAATTGTACCAGGGAGCTGTCTCATTAATGCTCCCTAGATTGTACAGACCTGTATAAAGTCTCTCGTTTGTTTTTTTTCATTGTTTTTTCAATAAAAATCAAATATTATGCAAGTAAATGATGAAAGCCAGCGAGGTTACTGTGCAGCAAACAAGACTATATGCAAGTCTATCAATTGAAGTCAGCTTTATTTTTATGACATAAAAATAAAAAAAAAATTGAATTTTCATAATATTTGGACACTTTCTAAAGTTGAAATCTAGCTGAGAAATACATATCAGGTCATCTGAGAAAATTCCACTCTGGTG